TGTTTTTATAAATTTTCTTAGTTAAAATTGAGGTGTTTCCTGAATCCTCAGTGCCAAGAAAATATGATCGATTGTTTATGTTGTCTTAGAATTAGCAATTTTAAAAAAATTTTTTGGCCACTTGAAAAATCGTTGCATGTTTAAGATTTATCTTTTGTTTTTATTATTTTCTGTTTGAAATTCTGGAATCAGATGTTATTATTTACATGTGGACTATTAGCCTCATCTTTGTTGTTGTTATTATCACAACATTTCAGTCATTGTACCCTGTGGACTTCTTCAGTTGCTTGTTGATCCAAGTAACTTTCAAAGAATTTCAAACTTTTTAAACTATGTAGATTTTTCTTGTTCCACTGTCCATTTAATATTAAATTGGTTTGCCTATCGTCCGGTTCACACTCCTCCTTTTGAACAAGAGTAGAGGTTTATCTCTTGTTTAAAAGTGGCTTTCCAGTTCTTTCTCCTAAAGTTTTCTTATTCTCTTTTCAACTCCATCTTAGTGGCTTTATCACCTTGCTTGGAGTAAATTGATTAGAAACATATCTAGGGATATCTCCTCTTGTTCTCGTTTCACTACTGACTTATCCTATTTCCTTTAGTTGGGAGGCTTATTTGTAAATTTGGCAGAATAATTTTGAGTTCAATTCCTGTTCTATGTAGTAGCGACAGTGGAAACAGGACAAACAATAACTGAGAGAACAAAAAGTGATATCTCTAAACATAGACAACAGAACAAGAACAGTCTACTCCTCCTCCCCATAGATTAAATAAAGAATTTGGTTTAAAATTTCTTGAAAGTGCCGGGATCAACAAATTCCTGAAAAATCCTAGAGAGCACAACAGCCGAAATACGATAACTACAATAAAAATGGTGACAATAATATGTATGTAAATAATTATTACTTAAATAAAAGTTTATATAAAATACAGGGCACCCTGTAAAAAAGCAGCAAATTTATTCTTTAAGAAAATACACCATCAGCTCTAATTGATCCATCTGAGTGGCTCTCTAAAAGCCCAGATCTGAATGTTATGGATTACTGTATCTGGAGTATGCTCTTATCTCACTTGCAAAACCGTCAGCGTGACATCATTGATATTGATTCATTGAAGTGGAACTTAAATAAAGCCTGGAATTAAATTCCTCTTGACACTATCCACAAAGTTACTGCCTCCTGTGCATGAAACATGATAGCTAAATAGTAAAACACACTTTTTTTTTTCTTTTTTTTTTTAACAAAAGCATTTGGAGGTAGATATTTAATTATTTTTTTTCCTGACACATAAGAGAAGGACTATCAGAAAATTAAATACTTGAGGCAATATAAGGGTCCTTTCCATACTTGAGGTAATATAATGGTTCTCTTTCTTCTTTCCATTGGATAATCCTGCCATTTCTTTTCTTAAATTCATTTCAATTATAACTTTCTCTTTATATTTAATTTTTGAAAATAGTATTAACATTCCTTCATTTTCTTTTATGCATTTTCTCCTTTCTTTGGTGCTGTCTAAATTTTGTATTGCTAAATTCATCAAGTGGGCCAAATAAACAAAAGGTCCTTATGGCATATCCTGGGAATTTTATCAAACTTTGTTTTGTTATCAATTGGGCAAACATTGAATGGCATAACAATATCTGACATAGTGTGCAGCTATACACACACACATACACAAAAGTGCATGCTAGGAAGATATCAGTCTCCCCTCCACTTCCAAAAATTTGGCCAAAGGATCAAACACTGCAATTTATGTAGAAAGAATCTGTTTCTCATTAGGCCAATAAATTTTCAGTACCCCTCCTCATAGCCCTGTACCTAATAACTATTACAAACACACACACAAGTGGACACTGAGGTTAACGCTCAGTGGCAACAGCCTGTTTTATGATTGAATGCTGTCATCAAATCATTTGTGTTGGCATGACTATATATGATGGTCAGTGGTGCATTATGGGTAGCAAGGTCTATTGTATTATCCTAACAGTTATTGGGTGGGGGTGGGATTAAGTTATATTTGAAGCTAGTGAGTAGAAATAGTTGTGGATCTGAATGTGGTTCTTTGTTGGTATTATGCATGCATGCATGCATGCATGTGTGTGTGTGTGTGTGTGTATATATATATATATATATATATAGGCACATGGCAGAGTGGTTAGAACATTCGCTTTATGACCATGAGACCCCAGTTGATTTGTCAGGAAGTAGACTTTCTGATGTTATCGGACTGGAATGGGGTCAATCCCAGCATGCAGCACCTTTGGAAAGTGCCTGAAAACCATACAAGTTGACCCAAGCATTGTGAGTGAAATTGGGTAGACAGAATCCTTGGGGTCATCGATAGCTGTGCTAGCACGAAGTCACAAGTCATCGTGACTGAGGGTTTGAGTGTGCTGGCCTTGTTCAGATTGTTGATCACGTTAGATAACACACTCTCTCCCAGAAATTGTAATTAAGGTCTGCTCAGCATAGTTGCAGTATAAACCACAGTTTGGCTTTGTGGATGTTGAACAAACACAAATGTGCTTGAGTGATCGTCTGCAATAGGGATTGGCTAGCCGCCTTAATAGACGGGTATCCTTGAATATGAGTGGCCAGCTATTATATGCAAACTTTTATTTTTGAATTAAACATTTATTAAATTAATTTTCAAAAATATTAAGTTGAAATTTAGTTTCATCAAAGAACTATTGGATTGTCTTTTGGAAACCTCATTACTTAATATTATCTGTGATGTTAAGAGAGAAATTCCTGAAAGTGCTGTTGTATTTTAAATTGTCTTTCTCTATTAATTAACAACTTGTTTTTATAGTCATGTATTACAGATAATGATTTTTATTCAACCATTTATTTGAACTTTCTTTTTTGTGTTCAGACATTTTTGGAATTCTTAGATAATTTAATGTTTGTTGTAATATCAAAAATTTATATAGAAGAAATCATGACAGTTTCCTTTCAAAATGCAACTCAACTTGATCCAAACAAGTTTACTTGAATCTTTGGACAATATTATTAATTCCCTCCCATCATCACCAAATGTGACTTCTTCCAACTTTTTTCTCCTTCGTTTACCATTACATCTTGTGAGTATTTCTTACAGATTGACTTTGAAAAAAAAATTTCATTTTACATTTTACAAGCTTCAGTCTTTTTTATTTTATTACTTTTTATATGAATAAAATGTTATTTGAATTGACATATCATTTGATCTGACTATTTTTCACTGCTTATTGACTAAAAAAAGTATATAAAATAATTCTTCCTGTTTTGTTATCATTTTTAAATTGTTCATTCCATTCATATTGGTTTGAAATGGAGCTAAAATAATTTTGGACAGTATTTTGTTGCTTATTTGATTATAAAACTCACCATTCACGTTAAAATATACTGTGAACTAAATACCTGCATGATTTTACATTTTTTACTTCTTTTTAAATTTATATAAAACACCAAATAATACCGCCTTTTCTTTTAATAAAAGCTTTTTTGTTTGGTGGAGTATTTAAAATTTTTCTGACTCCTTCAGGAAAAGCGAAGGACTATCAGAAAATGTAATACTTTAGGCAATGTAAGGGTGCTTTCCATACTTTAGGCAATGTAAGGGTCCTTTCCATTTGATACCTGTTCTCTTTATTTGTCTTTTTTTTTTTTTTTTAATAGTTTAGAGTAGAAATAAATCTCAGATTTCTCTCAAAATCCCTTTCATGATGTTTCATAAAACAACAAAAAATAAAAAGTTTTTTGATTCATGGATTATGAAGATATTAAATTTTTTTCTTTGATACGCTGATCATATTCATATTGAATACATTGATTTTTCAAGTATTCATTTTCTTTTTTTTAATTTAATTATTCTGTAATGTATTATGGCAACAGTGTGTGTTATTCACATTGATATCAGTGATAATATTATACCAAGAGTTCATTTCTTTATAGAAAATATCTTTGTACCAAAGAGATAAAAATCAACTTTTCTGTATATTTCTAAGGCAGATGCTTACATGTATGGTCTTCTGTAGTGAAAATGGGTATGGTACCTTCAACAAAAAATTACCTGGAATTTTTTAGTAAGACACCTTGCTTGATGATGAGCCATGTCTTGTGGGTCACTTATTGAAAAATCTTGCCCATACTTGATTTAAGACAATCATAATTATATAGGGATTTCTTCAGCTACAATGTTAGACTTACTTGCTAACCCCTGTGTCATGGCAATGTACATGTTGTTATTGACTTGAGAAACGGGTGGGTGGGGGTTGAACAGTGAGTAACCTACTTAATGAGTCTGTATGAATGGGGGTGACAGATGAGGAACAAAAAAGGATCAAAAGTTACCGTCCTGGGTAAGATGTTAACCTACATCCAACAGCGAGCCTCTGATCAGGAGGTTTTGAGGAGCATGGAACCACTTCTTAATTGCACCTGTTAGGGTCCCAGCTATGGGCAAATAGTTAACCACCAAACTGGAGTCAAAACACTATGAAAGTATAAAAATAGGTTTTAATACCAGAAATACTTTGTAAAAAAAGTTATTACCAGCAATATATTATTAACAGCAATACATTTTTGAAAAAAAAATATTACCAGCAATAAAAATCTTGTCAGTATTAAATAACCCATTGAGGTTGATATGCATAAAATAAAACAAAAATCAAAAGTTACTTAGAGCAACAAAAATCAGAAAGTTGTGGAGAGCCATGATCTCCCTACAATCTGAATGGCCTTGCACATAAAAGAAGAAAGCATATTTATATCGATAAATACTGAGCACCCACTAAGTATTAAACTTAGTTGTTAACCATTGTTTCAAGATGAAATGCCTTCATTATAAATGTGTGTTTGTGCCAGTAAACAGTGAGTGATCATTTCATATCCCCCCGCCCATAAAAAAGCTCTTTTCTCATGGTTCAGTCTTGTGTGTCAGATATGATTAACCATTTGTATGAGGAGTTTAAAGAAATGGTTGCTGCTTTTATTTTTATTTATTTATTAAATGTTGGTACCATGTTTTACCATTTTCTTTCTCTTTCTCTTTCGTTCCAGTTCCTGCCTGGCCGTAACCCAACAGGGAGCCTCCCAAATCGTCATTCAATGCCAATTGTCAGCATTTTGAGTTCTGCATCTGGGACAAGTTCAGTGTGAAACTACACTGTAACCCAGCAATGTCAACATCTCTCAACCAAATCAAAATAGTACAGACAGATGACAGTGAAGGTGGATGAGGCTGGTGAGAGATTTGGGAAACATAGGGGTGGGAACAGAGTGTATGGAGGAAAATTTGGAGACTTCAAGGTCTCTCTCTCTCTCTCTCTCTCTTAATGTGTTTGTGTGTTATTTAGTTTAAATATTTTTTTTAATTTTTAATCATATTTTTTAATTTGCAATTGACCCAATCAATATAATCTTCCTTTATGAATAACTTTTTAATTTTTGTTCATTTTTTTTATTTTTTTTATTTTTATTTTGGCTGCTGAGGTCAAGGGTCAGTTGTGATATTATGTAAAACCTGTCTCTTCTAACCCATTAAAACCAAATTGCTGTGTCCACTCAAACCCCACCTTTCTTTTCTTTTTTTTTTTTTCTTCAAAATTTTTCAAATTATTTTTAAAAAAAAAGTTGAAAAAAAAAATAAATATGGAGAAATAATTAAACAAATAAAAACTGAAAAGAAAGATATTTTTTTTTGTGTTTCCAGAAATTTTTTGATTTAGGATTAGTTTTTCTTTTTTTCTTTTTTTTTTTTTTGTTTATTATTTAACAGCCTCAATCAGGGAAATGATCAGCTGTTTTATTTATATTTTTGTCATGTTCATAGTTGAAATAACCTCTCAACAATTTGGCTATGATCAAAATGCTATACTTCTCATTCACTTTGTTTATAATAATTGGAAACAGAAAGTCACTTTGTTCCTCCAGCAGATGTTTTGTATTTGTCAACTTGCTTGTTTATCAGCCTCTTTCTCAAGCTCCCTGATACCCATTAAATAACAGGAAATGCATGCTATTTTGAACAATCCACAATCTCCAAAGTCAATCACTCCGGCTCGTGCCTCAAGTAAACCTCATTCCATATTTATCTCCTATCTATATTTTTTATTTCTGATCTGTCAATTTCTTTCTTTTAATTTTGTCCAATCACAATCTGTCAGTTTTTATTACTTCTTTTGCTTAACGGATTTATTGGCCCATTGACTTTACAAATTGATAGATTTATCTCCCCTTTTTTGATTTGCTTTCTTGACTTTCTTATTCATTTTCTATTCTTTCATAACAATTAGAGTGTTAAACTTTATTTTTATCCATTTTTCATTTTGTTAGCTTTCTGTTTCAAGACTTTTCTCTTTTTTTATTTAAAATTTAGTTTTTTAAATCCCGTCTTTATTAAGAGTTTTTGGCTAGGAAAGAAAATAACCAGTTTTAAAATATCCTAATTAAAAAAAAAAAAAAAAAACTTGTCTATTAAACAGAATCTCAATTAGTTATTTTTTTTATAAACTCTTATAAATGGAGAATAAATTTTATTTCTTGTCCATTTTCAAATAATAAAGATAAATTTGGTTTTCTATTAGCAAATCAAACTAAGTGATTCTATTCAACATTCCTTCAATACTGAGATAAGTTTGCGGAAAAACTAGAGTTGTTTAGCTGTGTCGTTTTGTTTATCTGATTCATACATTAATCTTACTTTTTAGGTTATTGCAATTCTCAAGGGTGAAGAAAGGAATACACTTCATTTCCAGGTGTTTTTGCTTGTATAACATGTTGCCATTAAAAATCAATGTTAAATATTTTTCATAATTATTTAGATATTCAAGTTCAATTAAGATTCTTAACTATAATTTAGATTGTAAAGATAGCATGAAAAATTGAATGTAAATGTTAGATTTTTATTTTATATATATTTTTAAAATCTATTATTTCATTTTCATAAAACTTTCTATTTTAATATCATAAGCTTTTATATGTGAAGAATTCTAAAGACATACAATTTGTATTGAACCCTGTGAAGACTTCACCTTGTGACATGCACATTTTTTTTAATAGATAATGTGAATAATTCTCAACAATTAAACAAAAAATAATATCTACTTATGTATTATGGAAACATTAAAACAAGTTTATCAAATTATTTTTACATATATACAAACAAATAATTTTGATTTCTTACTTTTTTTATATTTTTTTTTACATTTTTTCAATGTTTTATTTGTAAGATCTGAGAAACTTTAGATAACAAAATTCAATTTAAATGTTTTTTCAAATTTTTTAAAAATATTTTTCTTTAAGTTTTTGAAATTAATTATATTTAATCTCTTTTGACCTCCAGTTGACCTCTGCCTTTCTAATGTTTCTTCATTTCTAAGAAACTGGTCTCTCAAATGAAGATCCCTTGACACTATACAGACTATTCTCTTCCCATTCTGTCCTGCCAATTATAAATGCTTCCCTTCAATTCACTCAGCTGCTGCTGTGAGCTGAGTTTCAAGAATTTAGACCTCATTTTTATTTTTCAAAGCAACTTTCAGATGGAATTAATTTCCAAAATGATTCTTCCTCATAAAATGTTATATTTCATCCAACAAAACCTACCAGAAGTTATTCTTTTGCAAAAAGAAATTGTTCCTGTTAAAAGTAACCAAAAAGCATTCATTTTTATTGTACTAGAAATTTAAATATTCACACTTCATTTACTTCCCTTGGGTCTGATTTGAAAAATTATTTTATTTAGAGAATAACATGTCTCTTATTATTGACATTAAGCAATATTGAATCTGATGTGTATTGGGAGATTGAAAAACAGCCAAGAGACTAAAGTAAAAAAAAAACTTTCAGTATTTTTTGCAGACCAGAGATTGGATTTTTTTAAAAAAATGTGGTAAAAAGTTTTCAAGGGAAATTTTTTCATTGAGTTTTAATCTGGCTACAATTATTTTGTACTATTGTGCTTCCATAATTTTCTTAGCTGATCTTTGCCTTGTTACAATGCTTTTCAAATTTAATCTTCCAGAATCCAATTGGAGGAAGTTTCTTTGTACAGAGCAAAACCTTCTTTTTTTCTTTTTTTTTTTCTTTCTTGTACATCAAGGAATCATAAGAAGATTCTTTCTTTCTATGTTTTTTACCTGTCCAAGAACTGATACATATTGGCATCAACTTTGCTCTTTCGTTTAAAATTAGAGTTCTCCTCCTAGTCTCATTGCCAAGCAAGGCTAGAGTGCTCAGTCTGTCTTTGATATTTTAATTGTAGTTAAGGAGAGATAGACTCATGCCTTTTCAAAACATTGGTGCAAAATGAATACAAGCTGTCTCAGTTAGAATTTGAACTTGGATACCAATTTCATTTTCCTTGCTGTGAAGTATCAAGACACTTTCACCTACTATCCTCTTTCTTTTTCTTTTTTTAATCATTTCTCCTCTAAACAAGACAATATAGCCACTAAGATGCAAGGAGTTACTAAGGATAAAAGACATTTGAGTGAAGGAAACTGAGAAAATGTTACTGATGATAAAGGACAATAAAATAACAGGATTCAAGGAGACAGAAGATGACAGTTGACGTTTCATTTAAATTTTTGAAGATTGTTGTTGACATGAAAGCAAGAAGCTGGAAGAGAGTTTCACAAGCAAGAAGTGTGAGAGAAGAAACTATTAGGATAGAACTTAGTTATATTTAGCAAAATCAACAATGAAATGCTGGGACCTAATTGCCAATCTAGTCCCATAAAAAACCCACTCTGTCTTTAATAAATAATTTGTTTGGTTTATCTTCAGTTTTTACTTATTAGGGTTTTTCTATTTTTTTCTAAAAACCTACTACTCCCCTGTTTTTTCTACACTCTCCTTACAACGAACCTTGAGACCGTAGAACTTTGATGCAACTGATCACTATTTAGCTAACTATTAACAACTGACTGAACATTTGTAATTTTCAAGCCAATATATCCCTTAGTTACCAATCTCTCTCACACAATATTCTGTCTTGACCAACCAGTCATTTAGTAAATACATTGAAACTGGTGATTTTTCATCCTCTTTAAAAATGTTGCTCCTAAGAACTGGATATTATTATTTTTTTTATTTTTTTTTAGTTTAGTTTCAGCTACTATGTTTAGTCACTCAGTGAGGATTAAATTCATTAGCAATTGCTTGCAAGACAAATGTGTTATTGTTCTCCATGTACGCCATATTAAATATATTATTAAAAACAATATTCTTACTATATTCTGTCTCTAGTTTGCAAAAAGAGGTCTTTGGTAACTTTTGCACACACTTTACACATATACACATACAAGAGGAAGTAACGCTTTTAATTTGAATAATTTTTAATAATAAACTTTTTCATCAATTTATTGCATTTTTTTTTTTTAAATCATATACCTTCAGGATGTAAGTGATCTTTTCACAACTTCCTTTTTTTTATTTAATATCTGCAAGTTGTGAATTGACATGACTTGATGAGAAAAGTAGTAGATGTTTTTCTGATGCTGTCTCTTAGGCTGGTTGCTCTACTAAGACTAGAGAGCTTAATCTACCCTAATATTTTTCTCATAGCTTAAGAGAAAAGACTTAGAATCATGCCTATTTGAAGGCTACTGGTGCAAAGTGAATGCAAGAGCCTTGGCTTGAATTAGAACTCTCGGATAATTTACCAATTTCTGTGTTATTAACCACTACACTAAATGCGCATTTGATTTATTTTTATTTTAACATTGATAACAAAATTGTGAAAGCAAAAAACAGAGGCCATATACATGTCATTTATAATTCTGTCCTTTTAAAAATACTTTCAGATGAGTTTTGCATCAATGACAAAGGCAAGTGATATTTAGATTGTTGTTAATATGAATAAATACAAAATGTGCACCTGCTCATTTAATATTAATGAAAAGAAAAATCCTATTTAGGGCAATGGCACCCTTGTCCCCTTCAAAGTACTCTGATTGGGACCTCACACATTTATTCCAGTATCTCTTTCACTTTTCAAACTTGTCTGCAAATTCTTTAGGGGATTATCATCAGCTGCTTTATCAAAGTCTCCTTAATCTCGTCCATGGTGTTTCAACAATATTTTTGCTATAAGAAATGCCAGAAGTTGTAAACAGCCAAATTTGTGCTGGAGAGAGAATAATAGACATGTGTGACATGATGTTTTACACCCCCCACCACAAAAAATGTAACTTGCTTGATCATTATTAATACAAAGGCCAAAAGCCAACTCATATGCATTGTAAAAACCATCTTATTAGTTGCCAAGTTATATGAAGGTACACTCCAGTTCACAAGATATGTCAAAAGGTTGGATCCATTCCAGGCAGACCTTGTAATCTTTGGTACTTTTTAATAATATGCAAGAAAATCCTTCATATATTAGGAGAGTCTGCAAAGTGAGTATAAACATATCGGTTTCGGACAAAATGTTTTACTAAGGACCAAAAACTGTTTTCAAGATTTATACTCCTGAAATACACACCAATTCTTGCGTTGCTGGTATTCAAGGCAGACTAAATTTTCAGGCTGGAAAACGGATGCCAAGCAGTTCAATAGCAGGCTGGCTATTGTACTAAACTTGACATTAGTTGCAAAATTAGTTGTAACTAGCAGTTGGCTTACCAAGAAAGTATAGGTCATATCTTGAAATGCTCTACTGTGACATTGAGCTACTTCTGTTCTTGTAAAATCTGCAGTTTCTTAGTATTATTGATATCAGAGATAAATGTTTATACAGATGCCTCCACACTTGCTCTCCCCAATGCCTCTAGGAAATCGTACTGACTTCATTCATTCCCTCACTTTTTGCTTCTCTCCACATATCTTGGGTGGAGCTTTGGAAATGGTGGGATGAGGTATATCTCATCATTAAAACATAAGTCTCTTGCCTGACCTTACACTCCTTCAGAGGGAGGAAAGCCAATGAGGATTAGAATTTCTTTGCTGAACAAGGTGAGTTTGAAAACTTTGTGCTTTATCTATCCCTACCTATCTTGTCATCACCATAGTAACAGAAACTGCTGATAGGTAAAGCTGTTTTTTTCTTTTCCTTTTCTTTTCTTTTTTTTTTTTTTTTTTTTTTTTTTTTTTTTTTCTTTTTTTTCTTTTCTTTTTTTCTTTTTCTTTTCTATTCCTTTTTCTTTTTCTTTTTACTTTTTCTTTCTTTTTCCTTTTACTTTTGTTTCTTTTTTCTTTCTTTCTTGTTCTTTTTTTTCTTTCTTTCTTGTTCTTTCTTTTTTCTTTCTTTCTTGTTCTTTCTTTTTTCTTTCTTTCTTGTTCTTTCTTTTTTCTTTCTTTCTTGTTCTTTCTTTTTTCTTTCTTTCTTTCTTGTTCTTTCTTTTTTCTTTCTTTCTTTTCATTTTTCTGTTTTTCATTTTTTCTTTTTTTCATTTCTTTTTCATTTTTTTCATTTTTTCTTTTTTTCATTTCATGTTTTCTCTTTTCTTTTCTTTGTTTCTTTTTTCTTTCTTTCTTCTCTTTTTCTTTTTCTTTCTTTTGTTGTAAAGAATTTTCTTTAGCTTTTCTTTTATTTGTTTTTGCTTGCAGACAAAAAATATGAAAAATACAAAGCAATGTGATTAGTTATTAAAAGGAACATTTCTTTCTCAAATACATTGTATGAATTTATTCTGTCATAAAAATCTAGCAAGGTCACTTGTCATTATCCTTGACTCACACTCTCTCATAATTTAGCAAGGTCACTTATTTTGATAATTTTCTCTCACTCTTAAACTTTGGTCTGGCATTATAGATTTACTTATCAATCTAACATGACTAACAAATAAAGAATAGTTATTAAAAAATATTGATTAATTAATGGATAATTGGTTCAGAATGAGAAATTGGAAATCAGTTTGAATTTCAATTGGTTTTGTTACATTCACTTGACAAAATTTGTATTCATCACTTCTTCCTTAGCTCTGGGTTGAATAACAGCACAGACTGGGTCCTATAGCCTTGGTTGGCAACCAGTCTACCATAGAAAGAAACAGCAACTTACTGTGCAAAAATCTGCCTAGTTGGTCATAAATTAAAGGAGACATGATCACCTAAACGTGTATCATGTATGGTACTTAACTGTTTTCCTGCTGTGAAAAATCCTCTTCATACATTTTGAATTTTTTTTCATATGTGTGTGGTGCTCATTTCAAATGCAATCTTTAAAACAAATAAGTTACATATCCACAAAAAAATATTTCTACAAATCTATTTAAAATATAATTAAAAAATTTTTTAAATTAATTTAATTTTTCAGAACATTTGTCACTCTCTTTCACAATGAAAATCCACGTCTTATCTTTCTCTTCCTTCTCTCTTCTTCTTTCTTCCTCTCCCCCCCCCCCTGCAATAGATTGACCTCACTCATATCTTGGGCAAAATTCATGTCCTGAGCCTCTAAAAGGTGCAAACATTTTATGAAACAAAGAAAATATTTCAAAATTTTAATTTGCCCCAAACTTTCTCCTGATTCTTATTTACATTATTTATAATTTGAATTTTTTTTAATCAGTTCACCCCAAGCAAGGTGATAAAGCCACTAAGACACAAGGGCTTATTGAAAGTGAGAAAATATTCTTGAATAGAAATGGCAATAAAAGAATGGGACTCAAAAGACAGATGATGACAATTAATGCTACATTTGAATTTTTTAAAATCATAGTTGACAGAAAAACAAGAAACTGAAAGAGACTTCCACAGGAGAGAAGTGTGAGAAAAGAAACTATTAGAATAGAAATTAGAGTTGCACTTAGCAATTTTAACAATAAAATAATGAGAACTGTCAATTGACTATTATGTTTAAATTTGTGAAGTCAAAATACCAAAAAGGAAAGCTCCTCAGAATAATGAGGATATTTTTTTAATTTGCTTCCAAATACCAGTTATCATTTTCTTGTTTATGCTAAATAAATTTAGGGGCATACCTGTTTTTATTCTTTTCTTTCTTTTTGCTGAATCTTTCACTGCCAAAACCTGGGATCTTTGACATTGTTAAAATAAAATTTGCTCTTATTTTCTCTAAGAAAGGTTTTCTATTTTATAGTGTTTCATTCTTTAGTCAGACTAATATTTTTGTCTTATAACCAACACATGATATTCCAAATACATCAGGAACTTAAAAAAATCAATATTCAAAGTATGTTCTCCCTCCCCCACTCACTTTTTTTGGATACTGTATATTTGAGTTTCTGTTGTATTTGGAACATCGAGTGTTAGTTTAGGTTTAATTTTAAAAAAGGATTGAATCAACCTATATAAAGTCGTCCAAATTGTGGGTAGGAGTTTTGTCTTTTTGTTTTTTGCTGTAATATTTTCAATAGTAAAGGAAAAAAAATTCCAAGTGACCAAATCCAGTTGAAGTTCTTTTGTAAAGCTGATTTTATCTTAATGATGCCCTTAGATGTTTTGAACTTTTGATGAAAATCAATAAACCATAATATTCATTGCTTTCTAAATGAGTTAAAAACAATTTAATGTGATATTTTTTAAATATTTGTTTGCCTCATACCTTTAATACAGGATTAGTCTTGGGCAACTTACAGAGGATTACTCTGTATTAAGCATCTTTTCATGGCATGCATGCTTAGTATGTCAATCATTGCACAACAATGAATTTCAATTTATGACTAACCTTTTTTTTTTTTTGCTACAAGTAAACATATAATTTTTTTTAAGTGCCATGATGAAGGAATTCAATTTGGTAGAAATCAAGTTTTTTTTTTTTTTACACTTGTTTAGAAAGTAGTAAATCTTATGGTTTCAAACAATGTTGGGTTGGTCAGCTCATTATTATTTACTTAAAGGGAAAAAATGGTTTAACATTTTTTCTTCAGTGCTTTTCATATTCCTTGGCCAAATCTGACATAAGGCCATAACTTACAAGTAAAGATTTATAAATCTAACCTGTAAATCATTACTCTATGGCAAGCTATCATCTTTTTGAGAGGAAGCATTTTTGTGTAAATACACACACTGTATTTTCAATGAGTACCCTGTATTTGATGAAGTAAGCTAAGCTTAATAAATAGCTGATTGGGTAAGATCCCCATCAATAAGGAATGGGGTGTTGATATATACATGTCATGTTATGGCTTATAAAAATCTGCAAGCAGACTCAATGTCTGCTGCAGGAGCACCTATGGCAGGGTTAGGGTTGCACAAAGTGAGGAGAACTAATGACCAAATTACAATTCTGTTGATGTTGCCTCCATTTTGCATTCAGTCTGTGGTAGGATTCATTAAGGCATGTCACCTGGAAAACTTTGAGGAAAACCTGTTAGTAGTTTCATATTTGCTTTGTTCTTTCCACATTTCATGAATTTCCTTTAATAGTCCTGTATTTTTTGATTTTGGGTTCTTTTGGGACATTAGCCACAGGACAACTTCCTGAACATTGGACTTTACAAGTCTGTTGTCTTCTATCCTTTATATGGGGTCTGCTTGGAATTACTTCTTTTTTCTTCTTTTTCTCACTTTTCTTTTCTCATTTCTTTTTTTTCTCCTCTCCTTTCTTTCCTCCTCTACTTTCATTTCTCCCTTCCTTTCTTCTTTTCTCCTCTCTTTTCTTTTCTCCTTCTCTTCTTCTTTCCTTTCTCCTTCTCTTCTTCTTTCCTTTCTCCTTCTCTTCTCCTTTCCTTTCTCCTTCTCCTTTCTTTCTTTGTTTGTAATTATGTTACTCTTATAAAGAAGATCATCTGCAGACACTTTTTTGTGCCATATTGCTTGACTGAATTTAGACACATGGAAATGTTTTTCTCCTTTTCTAATTATTCTACAACACATAGATCTTTTCTCTCTCTTCTGTGGACAAGGCTTTATTACTCTACCTGGGCACTTGCCATAGAGCTACTCCAGCAAGACACAGCTAGTATAATGAGTTTGATCTTCAGTGGATGTCTTAATATTGTGGCCTCATGACAAACCAAATTGAACTTAGTTAAGATATAAATCCTTTTGTCATGTAGGTTGATAGACGTGACCAAATGACAGTAGAATTTGTACGATTTTAGCAATAAAAGAAAATGGATCTTGATTTATTTGGTTGAAAATAGAAGTCTTCCCATGGAAATTAAGGAAATTTTCAGTTGCCATTGACCATAATTCTAAAAATAAAATAGTTTTTCTTCTTTTCACCTATTAGCATTTTTAATCCCAATATTTTTAAAGAAAAAATTTGATCCATAGGTTTTATATTGTTCGTGTCCAATTTAGTTTTTTAAAGAGGGTCAAAATAGTTATCCTCTCATTTTTTTTAATCTGTTTTACCCCATGCAAAGCAATAACGCCTGGGTGTGGAAGAATTAGGAACAGAAACATTAATAATGAGTGGGAAGAGAAAAGAGTAATCAGGAAGACAGTAGATAGCAATTGACATTGCATTTTTGCTGATTATATTTGGCTGGAAAGCATGGAGCTGGAAGGGAGTTAATAAGGATTTCTCTTAACATATTTGGATCTATTCTAACTTTATATTTTCTAAAGTCTAACATCCCCCTAAAATATGCTTCCCTATGTAAATGGCCACAAAATATCAATTGATAAATTAAAAGACAATAAGCTGTTTAATTAAAGAGAAAGAATTGTTGCTTTGAAAAAATTCTAAAAATCACTTCTTTTATTACCAGCATCAGAATGAAGCAGACACTTTGTACCGAGGCTTCAATTGAGTTTATTTCCTAAACAAAAAAAAAACAGAATTAAGGGAATGCTGATTGGCAGATCAGTTGAAAGATTGACATGATCCAAGGAATTTTGCAGACCACTCCTCCCTCTGCTTCTACCCCCCTGCATAATCCGCAGATACACTTACCATTTGTAGTTGAATGACAAATCTGATTTGTCTCTTATCATAAGCCTTCGTCTTTTTATCTATGACACAGGCTCAAGAGAGTCATACTTTTTTTTTTTTTTTTTTTTTTTTTTTAACCAATTGAATGTGGTACTTGTTTGGAAAAAAAATGTTCTTCAAAGAATCTGTTCTTTTCAGATTTGTGGACATTTTTCCTGTTTGTATGTGAAATAAGGAACTTATATTTTCCTGCAATTGTTAAATCTTGACTCTGATGGGACCTCAGAAGTTTGCTGCTGCTTGGAAAAAAAGAAAGAAAACATCAGAATCAAATTGTTTGTGACATTTGGCTATGGATCTCATTTGTCTCTGTAAATATTGTAAACAAAGCCGCTTGTACTCTTTATTATTAACACCTTGATTTTTAATGAATTGTCGATCCCAAATATTTGTCATATATTTTTCTTATTGATTAGCTACTGTTTTTGATTGATCTTCAAGGTTTTTCCATGACAAAAAAAATAATTGCTGCTCTTAATTTTTTTTTTTTCTTCGGCTGCTGCACAGAATGTTGCGTGTTCACTGGAATCAAATGATAATAAAATCAAATGTCGACAGTTTTTGTTTATTTTCTTGGCAATCCAAAGTTATTTTTTCTAAGGCATTAAAAAAACAAAAATATATTTTTTCAGGAAAAAACCCCACCAAGATTACTTCTATTTCAAGGAATATGTTCACAATTATTATTGATTATTGATTAGCTTCTTCAGAATTAGACTTGCCTCATGGTCAGAATTAGACTTGCCTCATGGTCAGAATTAGACTTGCCTCATGGTCAAGATAGTTGAGTAGTTCCAATGTCAGATGTTGATATTTAAAAACATGGACTAAAAATAAAAAATAAAAAAATTGAGATGGATTTGTGTTGATTCCCACAGGGAAGCGGCAGATATGATTAAATTTTTGCACTTACTTTAATGCCATACACTTTTCTACAACCTAATATAATCTTGTGCCATATTAAGCTAACTAGTTGGAAGGAATTGCTGACATTGAGATGGTTACCAAATGGAAAACTGAATATCACAGTTTATCAGATATTTTCACAGTAATTTGAATTTTTATACAGTCTATTTGAATATCTTACCATCTTTTAGACTTGTCGTGACATCACATTGAAACCCCATTTCCTCTATGATCACCAAAGTTAAGCAATGTTAGGCCTGGTCAGTACCTAGATAGGAGTCTGTTTGGGAAGACCAGGTACTGTAAGTCTGGATGTGCAGGTGGTGTAATAGAATCGAATTCCTGTTGGGTTCATTATATTCACTTAAGCACAGATAACCTTGGGAAAGGTATAAATCCACCTCTTCTCTCTCCAGATATGGGTTAATTACTAAGATTTGTATCACTAAACCATTATTACCCCCCACCCATATTCTTACAATCTAAACATATTTTCTGGCTTTAAATAACCTGTAAATGGTTGACAACCTGTTGAAAATGAATCAATCAATCAATCAATCAATAGACTTAAGTGTTGTAGTCTGATATTTTGGCCTTTTGGTTAGCTCTGCTGCTGTTGCTGCTGCCCAGTCAAGCATCCCAATCTTTTGGTCAATTTGATTAGCACTACCACTACCCCCAGTCGAACTTGAAGATTCTATCCTTTTCTCCTGCTCAGTGTAACCTGTTAAATATGCTAACTTCTACCTAGGATTGAACTCACCATCCTTGGCTAACAAATTAGACTTCTACTCCTCAGCTTAATGGCTATGTTCTAAGCAGAGGCAGTAGCTTATTTCCCTTCCTGCCAAAGTGGATTTAACCATTAGGCAGTGTTTAAGTTTTTTGAAATTTCTCCTTAGGAAACATTTTTCTCTTGTTTGGTGACGTGTTGTCACTCTGTTGTTTGAGCAAGATCCTGTTTCCCCATCCACATCAGCTATAAATATTCATATAATTCCCATGCACAATAACAATTTTCATCTTCAGACTCTGTCCATGACATAGATAGTTTTAAGAAGAAAAACATGCTTGCTCAAATCTTCCACAATTCAACTAAGGTTGTTAGTCCAATTTTTTTCTATCATTACCAAAATTAACATGTTAGACTTATGGTCAGCTTTGTTTGTTGGAATTTCCACATATAGACTTCTTCAATCACTCTGGAATATTCTGAAATTAACCTGCTAAAAACCATAAATTTGGATCTTTTCTATCATCGTCATCATCCACCATTTAGAATATAACTTGATACTCAACTCTTTCCCCCTCTACATTTTGCCCTAATGATCAGAGCGATTAGTGTTCTGATCATAAGATTGGGATTTGAATCTGACTGTGGTTGATTTGTCAAGAAGGGGACATCAAGATTATATCAGACTGAGGATCTCAGCATGTGGTTTCATTGTGAAGTGTCTGAAAACTATATCAAGGCCTCATGAGTCAAATTGAGTACATGAAACTGTGCTTGCGCAACTATCAACAGCATTAGTCCTCACTTAACTGGTAGATCGAAAGTCTTTAGTTTTAGTTGGAGATCAATCTATAGATGGTATCTTAATGAGATAAACCTATAGATGTGATGAAAATGAATTGATACATTTTTTTGTTTTTGAGAATTTACAACAAAAATATTAGACACTATTACATTGCTCATGTACAAGAATACAAAAATAATTTTACATTTACAACATTCTAAGAATTAATACCATTGTATTAAAACTAATGCAATATTTATCATTTACCAATTTATAAAGAAATAAATTTGAAAATTTTTTATTCATAAACATTTTCTAAATTATTAAAATATGTGAACCAACGATAAAGAAATCATTATTTATCATTTTATAAAGTTTGAATTAATTAACCAACGTTTTGCCAACCATTCCAGTAAACAATCCAATAGTGTTTATTATTTTTATTGTCAATTCTCAAGAACAAAGAAAATGTATAAATTCACTTTCATATGTTTCGGTTTTATTAAAATTCTAAATATTTCTTTTTAAAACAGTAAATATTGCCGAGGCAGGAAAATAATTTTTAAAAAAATTGTAATGTCAAGAGGATTTTGAGACTCCATTTTTTTTTGGTGGCATAAAGATCAGAGATTGTCAAAACTTCTCAACATAAATCACATGACTTTGGCATCTGTTGCAAACAAAAACAGTGCAACGTTTTGTTTTTTTTTATTTTATTTTTTTGTTCAATTTCAACTAATTCACTAATAGGAAACCTCCTCAACCCAGACGTTTTGATTTCATTGTCTCTGTCTCTATATCAATTTAACTCAGTGCTTTACATCCGTGGGGTTAATTTTCTTCTTCTTTTTTTTTTTTTTTTTTATTAAATTTCACCCAATAAAAGGCTCATGAGCCTCTGAACATAGAATGTTACAGTTGAAACTTGTTTTTTTTTTTGCAGACAAATGTGATCTGAATGAAAAATAATGTGAAAAGAAGTTGAGATTATGAGGATTTCAGACGATAGATAATGATTGACCTTTGTCTTGAAGTGTTCAAGAGAGCACCTACGTGGGAATTCGTTCCACAGGGTGATAGTTTTCGAGAAAAAAATGAGAGTTACATTTGAAGCACAGGAAATGAGGTTGATTGGTGTCCGTGGAAGTAGCATGGTGTATTCTGGTTTTAAATGAAACTAAAGACTGGAGTCTATCTGAACATTTTCCATGGAAATAGGGATAGAGCAGCAATCAGCTTGAAACATTTTAACCATAGGAAAGAAGTTGCAGATTGGAAAATAGTCATCCCCCTCCCACAAGAGTGAACGATTTTGAACTCTGCCAATGCTGGAAAGTGATGATTAAGCAGCAGTAACCGAGACATGGTAACAATATACCATTTTTTACTTGTAAAGATAACAAAAAGAATCAATAGGAGCCGACCGTTTTTTCTAACATCTTTAGCAATTGAGATATATATATATGAGTTCCACTCGACGTCAATCCAACTGTTCAACATGACTGGAGAAAACTCCGGGTGATGAAACCATACTCGCTTTGGTTTGGAAGTATTGAAAGTTACATGCCGGTTATTTCCCCATTGAGATGCTGGAGCAAAATCAGAGGAGAGATCAGTTGCAAATTTTTGATAATCTTGATTTTTGGAAGGGACCCCATAAACATTGGTGCCATCTGTATAGATGTTTACTTCTGGGAATGTTCATAGGTAGATCGTTAATAAAAAGCAGAAACAAGAAAGAATTGAGGAGAGAGTTGTGTTAATTTCTTAAGCTTCGGAAGACTGGTCATTCACAATGACTTTCATTGACGTACATGAGAGAGAGGACTCGATGATTGCGTAGACTCTTCCAGAAACGCTACATCTGAAGAGTTTATTTAGCAATACCCTATGCCATACTTTGTCAAGAACCTCTGACATATGTAAGGTTATCGCTCTCGTGATGAAACTATTGATAATTAAAACATCAGTTGTAGAGCGAAACCCATAATGTTCTTAGCTCAGGATTTTTTTTTTTTTTTTCGGGAAATGTGATCAAATACTTCTTTGTTAATAATAGACACAAAGAGTTTGCTAATTATACGAACAAGGCTGAGACAATGATACTGCTAGGAAGATGACCGTTTACCAGCACCCTAGAAAACAGCTGACATCTTTCACAGACGTGGGAAATATTTAAACAACTTTGTCACAATTAGAAGTAATTCTTGGTAAAGATTTTTAAATACGGCTACCGTGTGGCCTGAATTTCTTTCCAATTCTACGATGGCCAGGTAAGTCTGAGAACCTCTCTTTTCTGTAACATTTCTCTGCTTGGATAATTGGCTGGTAATTCTGGTTCGAATCTTTCTATTTTTATCTCGATTAGGTTAAGATTAATGTTTCTTCTAAAAAAATCTTTTATCTGCTTTAGTTAGAATCTTTTGTCCGAAATCTTTCTAGTCCAATGGAATTATTTTCCTCGTCTATCGCATCAACGTTGTCGTCAAAAATTATGGACATTATATACGAGAAAGAATTCATTGTACAATAGATTTAATTTATAGATAATAACAAAAAAAAATGAGTGGATGAGTTTGTCTACTGCTTTGTTCAGTTGTTGTGTTTGAACACCACCTTCCTTTTGAATGATTCGTAATTTTAGTAGATATATTTAAAGCGGGACACTTTCCTTAATTCAAGAATCATGAATATCGGCAAATATTACTAATTTAGAAATTTAGTTAAGGTTTCTTCACCCTTCCCGTCACAGACGCACCAAAATATCCCAGAATTCCCACCACAAAGCTTGGGAATTGCAGAAAAACCTGACTGAAAGGTAAGTAATTTACTCGTGATTCTGTAGAAGTAAAATTAATAAAAATTGGATAATACTTTTTCAACCGGCAAATGTTGGGTTCAAGTGAGAATTTACATTTCGTAGATTAAGTCAAGACAAGCTTACGACCATATCACGTTCAAACAGTGATTCCCAGACGATCACCGAAGATGAGTGACTGCTTGGGAATACCAGCTACTGTAAGCTTGGATGTGCGGGTGGTATAATGGATAATGGATCGGAATTGTTAATCGGAGAGCCGAGTTCCAGTTTCAACTGGGAAAAATGTATGAATCAACTTCTTTTCCCCCAGTAAGACTTGTATCACTAAATCATTATCTTTCTTCACAAAAAATTCTTGCAATCTAAAAATATTTTCTGCCTTTAAATAACCTGTAAATGTTGATAAAGTTCTGGAACATTCACTCAATGCGAACGTAATCGTCAGCAGAAAGGTAATGAAATTTCGGGACCAAAAAGCAAAGGTTAAAGTATCAGAATTTCACTCATGATGAAGCACAGATTAACTGTCGGTGTTGTCAAACCGGCAAAATAATTTTCAAATTTAGATGACATTTTTGATGTAAATATCACTTTTTGTTTCGTTAATTGTTGCCTGGAAAAAAAAAACTTTTGTTCGCTTGTTGAAGATTGACATTAAAAGAGATTTCTAGCCATCATGCTATAGTAAATGTAGACCCCCTCCACACACACACACACCCGTTCACATTTCTATTGTTTAAAATTTGCTATATTTATAAGGAAGATTGCTCAGTATAGGAGATAAATCGTTTAGAGATATTAGGATTATGGACATAGGTATCAACACTGTATAGTGACTTTTCAGTTCCACGCTTCAAGGCGATCTTCAGTGTTGATTCCTTTGTCCCTATAAACACATACAGAAACGTGGGTGTTGAAATGTTCCACGCTCCACCCACATCCAAAAATCTGAGAAAATATCAGGGGAGC